AGCTTATAGCAAAGTTAACTAAATATTAACGCTGAAAAAAGCTGTAAAAATGATTACAGGTTCATTCACACCGATAAAGGAGTCTACGCTTGCTTGTTGCACTTTATTTACTTCTTAAAACGNACACCGATAAAGGAGTCTACTCTTGCTTGTTGCACTTTATTTACTTCTTAAAACGGAAGTTTTTAATCCGCCAAGTTGCTAGTTCGTTCTAGTGCGATCGCGAATATACCAGATTCCAATCGAGGCGGATATTACGGCAGAGGTTATATAATCTATGATGTAACTACACTTGGACACCGCAAGGCTGCACCGTGCGTCAACCGCTGACCTACTAAATGCAACCTTTTTGCGATCTAGCCTCTTTGGTAACTGGCTGCATGAGACCTAACCTCGTTAGATTTTTAAAGTTTTTTTGTTCAATTATGGCTGCGCGGTGTGCATATACAGCCAGTGTCAAGTGTTTATTATTAAAAATTGCGTTCTATTTTTAAATTGATTTACGAGTGCAACCTTATTGGCTATTCAGTGGGAGTTTGTTAGATTGACAGCCAGTTACATATTTATTGATGAAATATTTTTTAAATAAACTAGCTGTTGTGAATAAGCCGTGTGGTGACGGCAGAGTAGAATACATTTGTCACCAACCCCTACTCTTCCCGCGGGTGTCGTAAGAGGCGACTTAGGGACTACACATCAAACAGAGAATGGGCAGCAGCGCTCTCTGAAAAACATCAATCTTTTAAACTGCGATCTCCAACCCGCCTGCCTAGCGTGGAGATTATGGCAAAACCCTCCACTATAGTGGAGGAGGCTCATAGTCCAGCAGTGGACTGTAAAGGGCTGTTGATGATGATGAAACTAGCTGTTGCACCGGTCTATAGCAAATCAAAATTATGTTGATAGTTTGTTTTTTAAAGAACGCAAAGCATTCGATAGTTCAGTTTTTAAAAGTTAAGTAAATTTTATAAATGCTAACATTAAGTACCTACATAATTGATGAAATCTTAATATTGAATGAAACGGGCATCATTAATTTATGTTTATTAAATTGTTTGTTTAATAATTTTCAATGCAATGCAAATGTATGAATTTACTTTGGCATAATAACTGTTTGCGTTGTATGAAAGATATTTCATATTAAAATACACTTTTAACCGTAAAATGTCAAAGTTGACCCACAAGGATAGTTTTAGCTTATTTATTTTCGTTTTCATCATTATTCGTTCGTTCGTTCGTTTCAGCCGAAAGACGGATGCTAGCGGCGCAGGATCGATCTTCGTGGAAATCCAGGCCTTTGTCCAGCATCATTATTGTTACATTGTTATCTGAATTCGTAGATTTTATTATTAGGTGATAACATGATGTTAACTCTACAATTTAGTAATAAACTGTTTCGTTAAAATTTTGCGAGGTGAGTGACTCAGTGTATAAAAATTTGATTGCATGTTTGAGTGTTGAAAAGTTGACACATTTTTTTCTTGTATCTGTTCTAGTTCCATAGTTAAATACAAATCGAGATCGGTATCGAACTATAGATCTATTGTGTTACAATTTGGCTCTCAGTCCTGCATTTAATATAAAACCATCTTTTGGAATTTTGCTTCGTTTTAAAAGTCTGAGTAGCAATATTGTACATCATTAAGTCTCAGTCAGTGAAGAGATTCAAGAATTATTGCAATAAGTCAAACTCTACCTAAGTAGATCCAGTGTTAACTTACATACGGTGTTGATTCAATGAGTCAACGTCATATCTCAAATTTATTCTGATTTCCTCAAATAATTTTTATACAAATTTCGCAGAAAACTTCTTAATAATCTCAATTCTCCACTAATACTGCAACAGGCAGGCTATGAACCCACCTGAGTCGTTTTCATCCATTTTGTTATAGCATATTTCCCATCGAATCATCGTTGCCAGTTTTTTCGGCATCGTAAAGCTATAAAATAGGCGACACACGTTTATCAACGTGTTCATATAGAATATTTGTGTTCAAACAAAATAAAACCAGTTCCTTAGTTTGTTGACTCCTTTAAATATTTCCATCGTCGGAACTCTATTAGGTTTTGAATTTGGAATGGCATACCGATGTTTTGGATCGGCCATTTTTGATTTAAAAACAATTTTGGGTGAGTATCCTTTTAATTTTTAAAGAATATTTCCTGATGTTTTGATTTCAGATTTTCTATTGGTACGCTATTATGTTTTTCGTAGATACTGTTTTGTTTTCAATATTAGATTTTCACGTTTTATTTGTTGTTGTTTATGATTTTCATGCTGAAGTTTTAGTAACGTAGTATCTCATTGTAAGCTAATCGTGTTCATTAAAACATAGTATTTATTGTTTTTTCAGGAAATGTTTTATGGAAAATTATTTAGATAAATAGAATAGTGTTCGGGATTGAATGCTTTTTGTTTAACTATTTTTTTTTGAAGTAATTTTTGATACGTTGTATTTGTTTGTATCTAAGTAAACAAAGGTCGTATTTATGTAGAGTCTAACTTTTACATAGTATCATGAGTTCATGACTGTTTACGTTTATAATATCGTTTCAAAATTCCTATAAACAATCATTAAGTGAACATCGAGAATAATTGCGACATGTGTTTTCAAAAACGACGAAAATAACGCGAAAACTACAAAATAGTTATTCAAATTCAAAGATAGGTGTTATTAATGTGTCGCGGTCGGATAATACGACGTCGGATCCGAATTATAAATATCCGTAATTTGGCACGTTCGTAAATAATGATTTTATTCTTGCATAAACAGCTGACCACCTGCTCGCCTATGCACTTAATTATTTAAACATAAAACTCGTAATTAGACCTACCAGCTGTCGGCCGGCCTTGTACTGCACCTTTGTAACGCGACAAGTAATACTTTGCATCGCAAAAAATTCACATTTTCTACTTCAATTCATTGCGTTTTTGTTACAAAAAATTAACGCAAGACAACTTGATCTCGAGCTCTTTGTTGACATTTTTAACGTGGACGATACTATTATTCCAATTTGCATAATATTGGTTAACTATTAATAGTTTTTACATTGCGATATCGCAGATAAGGGGTGGGACATACCTATGCAAAAGGCTCTCAATATTTAAGGCCTGGTGCGCACGGCCATTTGTAAAAAAGCGCATCTCAAAAAAGTTAATAGCCGATTTTTTTTTGCGAAAATACTAGTTTTGTTACACCTGCTTTAGTATTACGACTCGAGTTTTATGGCTGTTTTTAAATTATTCATAAATGTATTTAGAGAAATAGTTTTTTATTTATAATCAATTAGGTAAAATCGGCAACTCAGGAGGTTACCAACCGCTGAATTGGAGTTGAACGTTCGGATGCTGAAAAGTTTTCAGATTTCATTTTCGTATTCTAGCATGACGTGTTTTAGATTTTTTTATAAGACCACATAATGCATGAGTGGCTCCATAGCCACTTATCAAGATGAACATATCAAAAGCGCCATATAAGCTATTTTTATGGCTAGAGCTCCCTTAAAAAGAGTATAAAATTGCCGCAGAACGGCTCATGTTATCACAATGAAATTACGCCACATTAATTTACGGAATGGCCGTCGCCCATATTAAGTTACCAAAATAGCAGCGGATTTGAATTTACTGACAAAGGAAGAGTATAAACGTACGAAGCATACGAAAACGAGCAAAAAAATATGGCCGGCTAGGGAGGTATGACCTATGATGACGCAATGCCAAAAACAGGCCACTTGCAGGCAGGACCGGGGTCAAGGCGGTTCATCTTGAAACATTATGAGCTCACATGTGGCCAGTGATTCAGCTATTTATCGGTTTTCCGATTTAAAAACAAATGACAGATTTTTATCTGTTGTTTTTGTTTTGTAGAGTTCGAAATACAAATTGCTTAATGCTTTGTTTTTCAGGTGTCATTGTTCGGGACCTATTTTAAAAGATGTTCCAATTTCGAATGATAAAACATTTGAATTTGAAATAAAGACAACAATATAAATAAAGAAGTACAGAGTATCCATTTTCAAAAACTATGTACCCCAAAACCTCCATTATTTTCATATTTCATCAAAATACAAATGTTTTCCCCCCAAAATTGAACGCGATGTGCGTGTTACGAACATTTTTGATGTGGATGTCGCTGAGGAGCGGCGTGGATCGTGCCCGCGTCTATTTTGAACCCGATCGGGCGTTCGCCCGGTTGTTGAACTGGAATAATTCGGCAAACACAGACACATTACGCGCCTTAATCTTTATTATACGCCGCGCGGCCACTACAAAATATCCACTCGAACCCACCGCGTACATTTAACATTACACCCCAGATATGAATATGGAACCACAGTTTACAACCTTGCTTTTTAAAAGCTACCTTAACAGTCGCAAATTATATGGCACAATAATGATAATTAATTACACAAAAACCGATTATACACATAATACAGCCGAACGCACAAGTGTTTACGCGAAACCGAACACAAACACGCGAAGATCAAGCGCTGCTGTGTGCGGGCCGGCGCGCGCGTGTGCGTGCTCTTTCCCTGTGTGAGTACGTGGAAGCGCGCGATGAAATAAAATATGTCCGGTCAACGAACTCGCGGTCGGTGCCATAAAAATTGCGATACTGGCCGAAATTCCGGCGGAAAATCGTGTATCATAGATTGATCGTCGCAATGACGTTACATAATCTGTGCGAAAAAAAATCAACGTCAAGATCGAGTTCCAAAAAGGTGGAAATTCCACGCGGTCGTAATTTCGGCGGCCAAATATGGCGCCGCAGACTAGGAAGGATTACAGCTGTGCAACGAACTTTTAATATGCAGAGTGCAAGGCGCGTGTCCGCCGCGGGACAGCTGTCCGTTTTGCTCTTTGTCGACGGCATCACGAAAATCTAGACAACCTTATTCAAACACGAAACAAAAGGTTACAATGACATTTCATTCAGCAAACTTTGAAAAACTTCCGTCTCGATGTCTTTGTAGCTGAGAATAGAAAAAAAAATACTTACATTCAAAGTTATGACGCGTTCTGAAACTTTTTGCTTCGATTGTCAGGTTTGATGTATTTCCGGATAGCGCGCGGCGCGCCAGTCAGCTGTTTTCCATCTGATGACCTTGTGGGCACGTCCCCCTCAGTTTTATTCATAGTATTTACAGTCGCGATGAGTTTGTTATTGATGAGTGAAGTCGACTATCTCGCTCTAAGCCTCCTCTTCCTGCAGGACGAGGTTTCCTCGGGGCGGGTGCCGGTTGAGATTCTTCTCCTTCCACAGCACATTGTCTCATCGAAGATGGAAGTTAGTAGATTTCAGTGGGGTCTAGCCCGATCATGGTGGCGTTTCAGTACTGGCCGGTGGGATCGAGTACTTTGACGGCCATTCTAATAAGAATCTATAGGTTCAGTAATCAGTACAGACCAGTGGGATCCAGACTGCTGGGCATGTTAGTATTGGCCAGTGGGGTCGAGTGTGGTGACGTCCATGGTTGGTTTAATAAAGTCCAGTGGGGTCCAGGGTGAGAATATCCATGTCGATGCACAGTTATCACAAATGTTCGTAAGTGTAGCGCGACACGAGTGCACAGAGGTATGACCGCGCGGAGGCCGAGACTGGCAATGCGCCGAGCGGCGCGGGCGCACGTTTATATGATTGAAACGGGCTCTGGTGCTGCCGCCTGGTGGCGAGCGGGTGGAATGACAGTTTTCCGACCGCCAGGCAATAGATTGGCATCCGACGAGTTTTCCACGGGGAGGTATGGAAATTGCCTTTGGAATATTTCCCTATTAGTATGTTTTCTAACTCTATCATTTCGTATTCCGATGTGTATTGTAAAACCTACAGTCGATGGTATATCCAGGTACTACATAATCGCTTGTTTCTAAAAACTTTACGTCTGAAGAATAAAGTTCTAAATCACAAAGTTTGATAGATCTGCATATACTTGCGGTTGACTATATCCGTATTTAGTTGAGGATAATGATCTATCGTCAAATTTACGATGTTTTTGTTCTGTCATTGTGTTTAAAATGATGAGATCCTCTTGAAGACATTTATTGGTGTCTAAAGGATATTGGGTGACTATAACATTATGTAATTTTCTTACACGGGTTGAACTCACATTAAACTAAATACAATATGAATGGAAAACTTTTCAGAAGGTTATAGAAATAGAGTTTATAGAATAATGAATAATGAATAATGTTTTTCCATTAGTAACCCACAACGATAACAACATTGGCTTTTAATGGAAACACTTTAAAACCTTTTTTATTATTGATGACTAAATTCTCGCGACTTTTAGTTGATAGCCTACGCCAATTTCCTTTGATGTCTTGGGATCTTCGACAAGGCGAAGTTATTATTTCTATATCGCTGTGATGAGGCGAAATTATGTTGTTCGATTAATATATTGGATATGTAGATGCTTAATGTTGTCTCAATAATGATGTAAGCAGCTGCCACACTGAATTTAATACTCGCCATGAATGATGGTTGGGTTTTACTAATAAATGTGTAATATCTTGTAGTTATTATTAATAGCTCCGCCGCCTACTGTTACGTATCTCATCTGAATAAATGTATGCTATTTATTTCGTATTTTCAGTGTAATTAAAAACTTTTTGTGGCCGAACGGAATAACGTTTGTTTACACAGCGAATTTCAATTTATAAAGAGTTATTATAGTGTAGTGTACCTTTTATGATTGATAAATATATGTGATCCATCTATTTAGTTATTTACAAAATAAAGATGTATCACTCGGCGGTGCTAAATCTCTGAATCTCAAATCAAAATTTTGAGTTTACAAACACTCTACAGTGCAGTGGTATAATAATATCAAATGAATGCTGCTGATGGCCGCTGGGGCAGGAAAGTTCTTGAGTGGCAACCACGACCCGGAAGACGTAGCGTGGGCAGGCCTCCCACTAGGTGGACCGACGATCTGGTGAAGGTCGCGGAAGGTGACTTGTGAAGATGCGAGCGGCGCAGGATCGGTCTTCGTGGAAATTCTTGGTTTGATAACTAAGTATAGGTATAGCTTTATAAAATTGTGCCATTATCAATATTATCCAAAATAGTAGGTACTCGCTTAGGTATAACATGACTCTTATAGTAACGTAATACGTCTATAAGTAATACTTGATTCATCTCACTATTGTTTGTCCGTAAATCTATCTAACCTTTCCCTAAGTCAGGGGTTCCCCTGTCTATTTAAAAATATCGCTTTACTTCAATTCCAAAGCTAAAAAAAAAATATGCTTCAAACTCCTTCGTTATTCTTCTGATTAAATTAGTTACAGGTTCCAAGACAGTTCGTATCTACCGGGACAACTCAACCTTCATAATCTAGGCTTTCATTGGCAGCCAAGCTGTAGATCCTGGGTTATACAGGAGTGCAAGTACAAGAGGAGGGACTACCCCGATCGCCATTACGCTAAGCAGTTTTTTTTTGTTTATTTTTTAGCCAGAAATCAACTCTATCTCTAATATACTCTATGTACCTATAATATAAAAATGAATGTCGAAATGTGTTGGTAAGCGCATAACTCAAAAACGCCTAAACCAATTTTACCAATTCTTTTTTTTAATGTTCGTTGAAGTCCAAGGATGGTTTTTACGGCGAGAAAAAATCGAATAATTTCCGGGAAAACCCCGGTCGAAGCCGCGGGCGGAAAGCTACTTTTTAATAAAAAAATATACTTGTCCACAAAAATCACGTCGTGTCAAGTAACTCATTATGTTTACAGCTATCCTGTAAAATTAACAGTTCTGGTTACTGATAGCATGGTGCTTACTGTTATCAGGATTGCTATCTCGTGCACCATTACTGCACTTTTCATTTTTAAGCATTTCGTGATGCACAACGGAGGTAGATAGAGAGAGTTCGATTTGCAGAAAGGCTTTATTTTCATGTTTTTCAATGACTAGCTAGAGTATTATGAACTGAAACTTTTTGTATTGAAATCTTGTTGACGGAAATCATTCAACAATCAATTGAATTTTGCCCTTTTTACAGAAAAAAAATGCAAGTAAATAAGTTAAAAACTAGGTGGACCGACGATCTGGTAAAGTTGCGGGAAGAGCCTGGATGCGGGCAGCGCAGGACCGTTCAATGTGGAAAACCTTGGGGAGGCGTTTGTCCAGCAGTGGACGTCATTTGGCTGAAACGATTGTATCAGTAACTTATGATGATGAATTTTAATACTTACAAAAAAAGAAACAGTCATTATCGAAGTGAAAGATTTATCACAACTTTGTTTTTATTTGTTGGTATGATCATTTGATTATTGCGAAATAGTTCAAAATTATCTTAATTCGTTTGAGTCACGCCCACCCCGGTGACTGATCATTACGAAATAGTTCAAAATTATCACAATTTGGTAGAGTCACGCCAATCTTGGTAACTGAACCTACTACCACAGAATAATAATTACTACGTACAGAAGTTTTACTTCGCGAAGGTATTTGAAAAAAATTATGGTCAATGTCATTAACAATATGGTGTAATTTAGCCTGTCTCAAGAGTCAAGCACCATTTTGTTGACAAACGTCAGTGATCGGCACTGCGCCGAAGCTATAGCGACTTCGGTAAAATGATGTGACGTGAGGTGCCAAACTGTGAAAAATGGCGGAGGAAATGCATGATTATCATGAATAATATTAACTACTTATTTACCTCTCAGTGTCTTGAGGCAACTTAAAAAAGTACATTCTGTGTTTTTATTATTATTTAGGCAGTTAAATACTGCACAGTATTTAGTACACCATTTTCTTTATTTTCTTCCATCATACACAAGAATACGCGTGCGTGAATCAATGTTCGCTCGTATGTGAGGCCTTGTCGAATAGTATCCTGTAGGTGGGCCATCGTGCGTGTTTTGTTTTTGATGTAAACTCTCGGAGATGAACAGGCCTGCTACTACGTCATTGTACATTCATGCTCACCCCATCCCAGTGGTTGAACCTACTACGTCATTGTACACTATAGTCTATACACTTTGTATATTATATGACACTGATGGTATATTTACTCGACCAATTAGGCACATTGTTTTTCCGTCCCGATGACATTTCGGAATCGAGTACGTTACCTCGTTTACCTCAGGCAGTGTTTAATTAAAAGGTTATTTATTTTCGTCGATTTGTCAGGAAGCTTTATTATTGAGCTGTAAATAAAGATCGAATGTGTTCTTAGATGGGTTAAATGAGTTTATTAATTAATTTTTGCATATGTTTTAACATGTAGAATGTCAGCGCGAGTGCAGCCTGATAATTCTATACAAAATTCAACCACCAATAAATCGATTGACATAGTTTTAAAACCGTCAACACGCAATTGGTTTATATTATAGTTTGGTTATAGCACAAATAAAATCTTTCCCCCTTATTAATAAAAGTTACACCCTAATTGAACTCTGGCTTAAATTGTCATTTAGTGTAGAAATGTCATTTTAATCCAGAGTTCATCGTAAGTGTAACTTTGTATTAATAAGGGGGAAAATTAAAATCAAATTGAATTTTAGACTCCCCGCATTTTAGTTGGAGTTTGATCGGCCTTTAATTTTTATGAGGAATCAGCTGTACCTCTAGCATGAACAACTTTCGTCTTCAAATCGTTTGCGTATTCGATAAAATTCGATATTCTGCCTTCGAATTCAACGATAACGTGACAATTTTTACTGTCAAAATTAGTTTCGTTCTACCATTTCTCATACCTGTTTAAGTTTTCATACTAAATCTTTTGATGGCGATTCGAATACGCAAACGAATTGAAGNATTTGAAGTCGAAAGTTTTTCGTGCTAGAGGCACTGATACCAAATCTGAAATGTGCGTACATCCATCCATGTTCAATGTTCATTATTGTTCATAGTGATTAAGATTATAGTTTGCGGGGTGTCTTAAAGTGGCTTCTTAAAAATACACACTTATTGCTTAGTGTCCAACTACACGAATTTGACATCCAACAGCGTGTGATGTCAAATTGTATGCGTGAGCGCTACGAAGTCACGCCGGCTGTGTACCAGATGCTTTATTATGAAGTTAACATGGTTACAGTAGGATTACTTTAAATAAACGAGTAAGAAAAATAACAAAATAATAACACCTTCAGGAGAAAATTACTGGAATTTCTGAGGTAATTCATTCTTTTCCAAACGAAAATTTACGTGCACAGGACTACAATAAATGTATTAAGAAACTATAAATAAAATATTAGCCTTATTACTATTATTTTTCCAGTAAAAATTGTTGAATTTCCTATAATTTGGTCATACTCATATAAAAGATTTCAACGCGTTGTTTGCAAATTTCCCAAAAATATCTTGAATTGTTTTTAACGACAAGTTTTTATGAAAATAATAATGATAATATTTATCAGTTATATTATTTTTATTTCTGCAGTAATAATGGATGAATTTTCCTACAATTTGATGTATTCATTTAAAAGATTTCAACGCGTTGTTTGCAGATTTTCCAAAATTAAAGTGCTTTGAATTTTTAATGGCAAGTTAATATGAAAGTATTAATGCAAATATCAGTCTGATTATTTTTGCAGTAATAATGGATGAATTTCCTAAAATTTCATGTATTCATATAAAAGATTTCAACGCGTTTTTGTAGATTTCCCATAA